CTGATACTGGCACTTGTGTAGCTGCTGCTGATTCTGTCCAAATAGTATTTAAAAGCACCCCCATCCCGCCCCCCCCCGCCGAGCTTGAATTGAAGAGAATTTGACCTATTTCAAGAGATGATGGGTGATTGACATGTTAATAAAAAACAAATCTGAAATAAATGTATAAAGAGGTATTACTTCAACGTTGTTTACATCACCACTTGGAATCTGAAAAATCATGTCCAGGACCTTTGACCTTCAAACCATGTTGCTGCTTCAGATTATCAGGACATATTTTTAAGGTGGAAGGGCCACCCCGTTCAATCGACGTCTAGAGGTGTAGATGGAGGGTAAATCTGAGCCTGAGCTAAAGCTTTAGCAGTGGAGAGGGACTCACATGGGAGAAAGACATGGGTGGAAGCAGAGATTACTGGGGAGATAGAGTGGGGCTGGTTAAAGAGGATCAGTTAATCTTCACACAGGCATCTCCGTGGCTCCCTGAGGGCTTTGGGAGAGGAACTGACTTTTTATCCTTCATTTGATCATAACATCACAGCAGAATTAGGTTGCCTTGTTAGACATGCAAATCCCATGTATTTCAGTAACAAACTGAATACCTGTTCATCCATACGTACACACAGTTTACCTATATCGCTTATTATTACTTGTCATTTATGTATTTGTTGAGTCTAACATTCAGAGATTTTAGTGAAATCAAGATTTCCTCTGTGGTTTTTTCTACAATCAGAGGATCTCTTTTATACTGTGCGTGTGCTGCCCTCTATGGATGAGTCATGGTCCCACAACATAGTCACATTTAATCTGTTAATTGTGCCCCTGCTCAGACATGCATGACGGGGCGGACTCTTCTTTGATTAGTATCTGCAGGTTTGCATTCAGGCGTCCCTGCCTTTTTAATTGCTGTTGACTCCGCCAATGTCTCAGTCAAAATGCCCTGCAGAGTAAGAAAACAAAAACAAAAAAACACAGTTTATTCTAAAGGGAAGAATCCAATTAGCAGATATAAAGCGTGGCTAGGCTGAACGATTGCCCTTAGCCAAATGTAATTAGGACAAAGTTTACTGAGACTTCATAGTATCATTATTTCATCCCCTTTATTGGCAGCTTTTCATTTTTTTCTTTTAGGACTTAGATTGACATCATACCCATATCCTCATCTTGAACCCCCTCTATCTGTATGTTTCTGCAGCCAAACACACACACACATCCCAGATGGAGACAGCCTTGGATTAGGGAAGATTTTCCTTCATTTAATAAACAATTCAATGGCACAGTTTTGAGGATAAACCCGCTCTAAGAAGCAGAAGCATAGTCTGGAGTGCGGAGACTACAGGGCATTATCCTACTTCATCATGGGATATCGTTCAGAATTAGTCTTCATCGATTGCTGCGTTTACATGAAGGAGTCTCATCTAACAACAGAGAACCTGATCCCTTCTGATTGTGTCTCCAGCCCACCATATATATATATATTAATCTACGTGTAAACGCACTTAACGGTATTATACAGGAGAGAGATTTCATTTCGATTTTGGCTTTAACTCAGACACAGCCTTTTTCTCAGTGTTCTTACAATATTGTTACAGGGCACACATGTCGGTCACAGCTAACACAATGGCTGCTGAAAATGAAATCAGAGCAACAGGATTTATGGGGGGAAAAATAAGAGATGGGGCTGCTATACAGTCTGATCAAAAACAGGCTCATAGGTTGACATCTGTAGGAACGATGTTGATGATAAAGATATTAATCTACTGCACGCATGTCCAATAGATGGCTTTACTGCTCGACACTGACATGAGGTAATGCTGGATATGCAGACATGCTTTATGATTAGAGATTTGCGCATGTATGTTGCACAATACACATTATGTGTTGCTGATTAAAGCTATGGCCTGGATTCTTCTCTGTGTGGATATCCTACTGTATGATTATCAATGACGGTCCATCGCCATCCAGAAATAAGTCATACTGTATTAGCATGTGTAGCTATTGATGACATATACAGCTTCTAGCATAATAGTAAAATAAGAAGGTGTAAGTAAAGACTGATATGCAAACATTTGCTATTTATTAAAGACTTAAAGGTGGGGTATGTAATTTATTTCAGAAACACTTTTTGTTATATTCCATGGAATGCTCTTAACATCCCGATAGCAATGAATATATTAAATGCTTTGACAATAAATACATAAAGAAATGTCCTCTGTGGAAGCTGTGGTGCTGTAAAAAGCACGACCGGACCAATCACTTTAGCCGGGCGGCCTACCTGCCTGTCAGCCTTCCATCTCGTGCACAAACTTATCTCGTGCCCTCATTGGTCATGTGCGCGTTTGTGTGTGTTGGAGGATGGGCTCTGTAAGGAAGTCTGAAGGAAGGGGCAGATTTTTTTCGGTTGTGTACTTTCAAATTCTAGCGCACTCGAGCTGGTTTCTCCAAAATTACATACCCCACCTTTAAGAGTAGCATGAGCACTCTGTGTGAACAGTCATTAGTTATATATTTATTCATACATTTTCGGAGACCAACAACTTACTGTCGCAATTCAAAAAGGTGTTTTCTTGTTTCTGTTGTGCTATGTAAATGTTTGGTAGCCTACTTGGTTTGTCATCACCTTGATTTGTGCAATATAACAGAAATAGACTACAAATACGGTGTTTTTAGGCTCTGTGAACGTGTCGTTATTGCACAGTTAACTGTAACATCACTTTCGCTTGTGATGGAGTATATTTTGCGGGAAGATTAACTGCAATAAACTTTTAATATTAATAGAACTCAAGTCTATCATTCTGTATCTTCTGTATGATTTGTAAATGTAACTGTTGGTTACTTTTGAGCCATACACATGTTCCTGGCTCAAATGCTGGATGCCTCACAACATGTCGACCCCACAGACGTCACATGACACGAATGATTAAATATCAAGCAAAGTGATTTGCTAATTGTAATTCAGATAATGTAAATGCTGTTACAATGACGATGATGATGATATCACCAGAAGCCGTGGTTGGGGGTAGTGACCATGTGTTAGATCATATCCATGTCCAGCTGAGCTTTTTTGCTCACGTGAGGTGAGAGGATTGAGCCTGGGATTGTACGGGGATTAGTCAGCAGGATTTAGATTTAGAGATTCAGAATCTAAGGGACAGGAGTCTCACAGCTGCAGGGTCATTTAGTTCCAAGAAGGAATAAGAAAACAGTGCTGCAATTCTTTAAGTCAAAAAAGAAGTGTATGTTCATCTATCTGGCTTAATATCTCCCACACATGCACTTTTCTCTTAATCTGTTCGTCTGCCCCACCGGCACAGCCAATCACTTCGTTCTGCTGCCTCTGCACGCTTTCAGTCAGGAAAAGAAGGAAGGCGTGTCTGGCGGAGCAGATGTGGAGATTTCAGCTGCCTGTTTATGGATCACAACTCTCCCTCTCTCGGTGTATTCCCCTCTATCCAAACATCCACTCTGTCTATCATTGGAGCACACAAGGGACTTTTTTCATGGTTTTCTCTACCATAGAAGGATTTTATTGGAAAGAATTTTCTTTTTTTCTTATGACTTTTTTTTAAACCAAGCTTCAAACTGGAGACACTAGTAGACACCGACTGCTGGGATCAGGTGATCCAGCTTCAGCTGTCGGGTTCGGGTGACTGGGCACCCTGTGAGTTGGACATCATCATCCCTCTCTTTTTGCCCATCTATTGAAAACAATTGTTGTATTATTAGTTTTGTTGTACTTTTGTGCACAGGATTCTTTAAATCACATATAATGTTTGTTATCATTCTGATAATCCATGCACCTAAACTGCTCTTACTTTACATTTGGATTTTGGCTTTAGATTTTGAATTCCCCTTCCTCAAATGGATTCAGAAAATGAAAATTGATGCCTTGTGCTGAACTTGTGTCTGGAGAAACATTGTTGATAACTCGTTTTTTTTATGGGAAATTCCCTGTTTAATGCAGACCGGTAATGTGTTATGGAAAAGCAATATTGTAATTTTTAGTGGTTGAACTTTGTATAAAGTCATCATAGGAGTATTATAAGATACAGTACAACATGTGCAATGATGCCTATATGAAACCTGCTAATAAGTACTGTATCTCCTTATTAGTGAATTTCAACTTCTCAGAAGGATGCAGTTAAGAAACTTAAACTTCTAATGCATGGACATGCAGCTGGCAACAGTGTTGGGGAATCAGGAGGAGAATCATATAATATGATATTTACCTTTTCATTCTGAAGAAAATGTCTTCACTCTGCTTTTGTCTGATTCCATATGGGATAGGTTTGCCTTGTCTTCGTTCAGGTAGCTTGATGTACAGAATCTACAAGGAAAACACACACACACAAAGATGTAAAAGCAAGTTTGGGATTGAGTGAACCCGAGGTTGTTGCTGATTATAAAGGAGCCTAAAAGATTATATCTGCTGAGGTCACAGTTTTTTAATTGTTAAATCCCAGCAGCAAAGTTAGCTGGCTAAGTGATAAATATCTGCATGGTTATCAACATGTATTATGCAATTTGTAATGTGAAAAATCAAATAACTAATTGAATTAATTGTTTTCCCAGCAAAATAACCGAAAACATCCTGTCGTTCTAATTTCTCAACCGTGAGAATTTGTTGCCTTTCTCTGTTTTATATCATTTCAAACTTAATGTCTTTTTCGGACAAAACCAGATGTTTGAAAACATCAAATCAGGCTTTGGGAAATTGTTATAGGCCTTTTCTATCTTGCTATTTTCAGGGATTTTACACTGAGAAAATTATCATCAGATTATTTAATAATCCAAATAACGCTAGGCATGAAAAACAGGAAACAAAAAGGATGAAATAAAACAAACTATAAATATCACATAACACAAAGAAGCCTTTTTATTCATGGAATTGAAGCATGAAACAGGATGAAAATACTAAGATATTAACACCTATATCAGATTTGCTAGCTGCCCCAAATCATAAAAACAACATCATCTGCTGAGCCTCTGCTAAATGTCACAAGTGACAAAGTGTTTCCTTTGTTGTTGTTCCAGGTGACACCAAGGATGTGGAGATCCCCAGAAGAGACCTGGAGGTGGTCAGGGGCCAGATGGTGATGTTAGAGGCGTGGTACAGCCCCCTCTCAGACATCAACAAAAACTCTGTCGTGTGGCTCTTAGAGGGGAAAGAATCAAAGCCGGTGAGAAAGTCAAAATGCAATCCGAAATGATCTGACGTATAGTTGACCGTGCTCTGACCTCTCTTTGTGTATACAAAGTAGAACTTCTTAAAAAGGGATTACATTAAATTCAGTCTGATTGCCGATGCTCCTCCTCTTACAACTAGCTCACTACTACTACTACTCAATTGATATATATATACAAACCAAAATGTTGCGTTTGAAATATTCCAGCAATCTGTAGATATTTCATTTCTTTCTTTTTTCCAGCAAATTGCATTAGCTCTCTGGTTCCAGATTTTCCAATTTGTGAAATTTCAGATTTGTTCTGTTTCCTATACATTTATTTTTGAAATATTAACAGTTCAGATAAAACATGAAGACGTCAAACGTAATTACGTTTTTTGTTGATGTTATTATTATACAAATACAAAATGAATGTCTGGCATTGTCAGTACTTGGCTTCTGTGACCTCAGAATATTATGTAAGAGGAAAATTGCCTGTTTTGTACTGCATGGCATTTACATTATATGTTGGGAAATCCATCCAGTAATATGATCTATAGAGATTATAGAGATTAGGATTATTGCCAACACCACTGCGGATGTGAAGTGGAAGGAAAGATGGCCGTTATTACGAAAGGATGCCACTAATGACATTTTATCTCTACTTTTTTGCTGCACCTCCTATATATGGCACAAACCGCATTTCAAACTGCTCATAGCTGCACGTCCTCTGTGTGTATGTGACTGTGCACAATCTTTGCATGATTAATATAATCTAAACAGTGTCCGGTGCCTGCAAGATTATCTCTAACAGAAAATCTGCATAAAATGTGACACCAACCATCTGTACATGTCAGGATTATATTTATGAAGGACATTGATTTGTGTTATATAGTTAATCTGCACATATATATATATACTTTATAATATATATATATATATGGCCAGAGCTAATACATTGTAAAGTTTCCACCCCGATGACCAGAAATAAAAGTGACCATAGTAACTCATTTTCAAAAAAGGATTGTATTTCAGGAAAAAGTAGCAGACTCAGAAATGTATTCTAAGAATGTACAACGATTATTAATAACAGTGCAATAGTGCTATGCTTCAGTGTTGCTTTGTTTTTCTTCCGGTTAAGGTGATAACCTTTAGCTCAGGCGAGATAGGGCACGGTCAGAACGAGTTCACCAAGAGAGTGGGCTTCAGTGCGCACATGCCCTCCGCCAACCTCTCCATCTACATCAACAACACCCAGGAGACTGACTCCGGGTCCTACGCCTGCACTGTCATCATCCCTGGAAGTGCTGTCATTTTGGGAAAGGTGCGCCTTAATGTCAAAGGTAATGAACCGCAGCATCAAAGGAGAATATCAAAGGTTAGATTTAATCGCTCTGCCACACAGCTCACACATTTCCTCGGATTTGGAAATCAAATGCTGAACACGTTTTGAAGGATTTCAGATCTGACCGGTGTCTAATAAGTCCTATATTTATGTGACAGCACTGTCCAAATGGAAATCATCTGCAACTTGCCTCTGAGGTCATGATGTCATCCTCCAGCAGCAGATTGAAACAACAGGGATTAAAACATTTACTTAATGTATGCAATAAGGCTACTCCCTGTGAAATCTCCACTTTGTTGGCTGTGGATTAAAGCCTAACGTACAAGTTCAATATAAGGTCATTGTTACCGTATTCCTAGCTTGAGGAGGCGTGTGGCGCAGTGGATAGAGCCTTGGTGTTGGGATCAGGGGGTCACAGGTTCAAATCCCACTGCAGTCAGCATGTCGTTGTGTCCCTGGGCAAGACACTTCACCCCAAATTGCTCATGGGGATTACCCACAGTATTGAGTATGTACAGTGGGGCAAAAAAGTATTTAGTCAGCCACCAATTGTGCAAGTTCTCCCACTTAAAAAGATGAGAGAGGCCTGTAATTTTCATCCTAGGTATACCTCAACTATGAGAGACAAAATGAGAAAAAAAAATCCTGAAAATCACATTGTCTGATTTTTAAAGAATTTATTTGCAAATTATGGTGGAAAATAAGTATTTGGCCACCTACAAACAAACAAGATTTCTGGCTCTCACAGACCTGTAACTTCTTCTTTAAGAGCCTCCTCTGTCCTCCACTCGTTAACTGTTATTAATTAATGGCACCTGTTTGAACTCGTTATCAGTATAAAAGACACCTGTCCACAACCTCAAACAGTCACACTCCAAACTCCACTATGGCCAAGACCAACGAGCTTTCAAAGGACACCAGAAACAAAATTGTAGACCTGCACCAGGCTGGGAAGACTGAATCTGCAATAGGTAAGCAGCTTGGTGTGAAGAAATCAACTGTGGGAGCAATTATTAGAAAATGGAAGACATACAAGACCACTGNCCACCAGCTGCGGAAGAACTGAATCTGCCCGAAAAAAAAATAGGGAAGCAAGCTTTTTGGTGTGCAAGAAAGGTCACTGTGGGGAATTATTAGGGAAAATGGGAAGACATTACAAGGCCACTGATAATCTCCCTCGATCTGGGGCTCCACGCAAGATCTCACCCCGGTGCGGCGTCAAAGCTGATCACGAAGAACGTTTTGCAGCAAAATCCCAGAACCACACGGGAGGGACCTAGTCAATGACCTGGCAGAGAGCTGGGACCAACAGCTGACAAAGGCTACCATCAGTAACGACACTACCGGCCCGCCATGGGACTAGAATCCTGCGAGTGCCAGACGTGTCCCCCTGCTTAAGCCAGTACATGTCCAGGCCCGCTCGTGAGTGTTGCTTTAGAGAGCGCATTGTAAATGAATCCAGAGAGGTTTTGGCGAGACATGTCATAATGGTAGATGAAACCAAAATAGAACTTTTTGGCCTAAAAAACCTCAACTAGAGCTGTTTTGGAGGGAGAAAGGAATGCTGTATTTGTTTCCAATAAAAGTAATGTTAGCTTTACGTCCTACTGTGAAACATGGGGGTGGAAACATCATGCTTTGGGGCTGTTTTTCTGCAAAGGGACCAGGACGACTGATCCGTGTAAAGGAAAGAATGAATGGGGCCATGTATCGTGAGATTTTGAGTGACAACCTCCTTTCATCAGCAAGGGCATTGAAGATGAAACGTGGCTGGGTCTTTCAGCATGACAATGATCCCAAACACACCGCCCGGGCAACGAAGGAGTGGCTTCGTAAGAAGCATTTCAAGGTCCTGTAGTGACCTAGCCAGTCTCCAAATCTCAACCCCATAGAAAATCTTTGGAGGGAGTTGAAAGTCTGTGTTGCCCAGCGACAGCCCCAAAACATCACTGCTCTAGAGGAGATCTGCATGGAGGAATGGGCTAAAATACCAGCAACAGTGTGTGAAAACCTTGTGAAGACTTACAGAAAACGTTTGACCTCTGTCATTGCCAACAAAGGGTATATACAAAGTATTGAGATGAACTTTTGTTATTGACCAAATACTTATTTTCCACCATAATTTGCAAATAAAGTCTTTAAAAATCAGACAATGTGATTTTCTGGATTTTTTTTTTCTCATTCTGTCTCTCATAGTTGAGGTATACCTAGGATGAACATGACAGGCCTCTCTCATCTTTTTAAGTGGGAGAACTTGCACAACTGGTGGCTGACTAAATACTTTTTTGCCCCACTGTAAGTCGCTTTGGATAAAAGCGTCTAACAAGTGTAATGTAGTGTTAACCTCTTGCACTACATCTGTGTGTCTGTCTGCAGTCCCTCCTTCCCCCCCGCTGTGCACCCTGACGGGGAACCCAGTGATGAAGGGCAACGTGACTCTGAGCTGTCAGTCCAGTCAGGGAAAACCTGTCCCTCAGTACAAATGGACCAAAGCTGCACCCACGTCTGAGGTGTTTTTCTCCCCCATGCAGAGTGAGTATTCTCTCAGCACATAACAAGGATTTTAATGACTATTCTTTAACTGTCAGTTCATTTTAAAGAAAACACATTTACAAACTGTACTGTACCTCATGTAGAATCTTTTGACAGATAGTTTTATTTTGTTGCCGAATGCAGCTTTGAAAAAGGTAATTCAACAACTTTCTTATGGGTTCTATGATAGAAACACAAACATGTCTCACCTCAATCGCAATATTACCAGACTTTAACAGCAATTAAGCTAAACGAGTAAAAAGGAGAGGCTACCTTTTATTTTCGGTGAAGGATTTGGGGTTATATTTAGTTGAAGTACACAGGAACAGGAACACAGTTCATTTAAGCTAATATTTCATTTAGATTTTATTTGGAAAATGCTAGAGTTGAGCATTAAGCAATGATAAAATATTTGATGTCTATCAAGAAAAAGTATGAAGATACACATTTTTACCATCTATTTTTTGGTTAAAGAAAAGCTTTCACACAACTGAGACAAATCTTACACTCGCTTATCACGTCATATTTAGACTTGTAAAAAAATACCTGTACAGTACCTGTTATTTTGGAGGGAATACATTGTGTATAAATAAATATACTGTTTATGTGCTTGTGTCACACAGATGCAAAAAAAACAAACAAATCTGAATCTCCCTCCTGCTGCCCCTAACACCTTGCATGCAGCAGGTCACATACAGCATCATAAGTCCAGGTGCAGATTGCAGGATAACGCGTAGGTGCTAAAGATGTAACTAAGATCTTTCAATCGCACTATAACATGCAGCATGAATCCTCTTAACAGATGCGAGAGGAACATATTCCTCTCGCAGCTCTGTCCATGCAAGAATGAAAAATGCATTTGTGGATGTGTTTCCCGATGATGCTACAGAAAGAGCACCATCTGTTTCTGACTTAGGCTGATTGATTGAGTATTGACTTAACTGTTTTGATCGTCAGCCCTCATCTCTTTATAGAACAAAGGTCCTCAGACTGGAAAAATGAAAAACTACTCTGTCCGATTGTGCATAGACTAATGGTTTTGTAGATCAGCGTGCCGGCATCACATGTGTGTCCGCACCCTCTTACATCAACACAGAAACCCATCTTTGTATCTGGGCTGATGTATGCTCTCTCCATGACTCTTGAACTCTGCTATCACTGCTTATCTCTTACAGCAATCTCTTTCTCTCTCTCTCTGTCTGTGTTTTCTCTCTCTGCTGATCCTCCTCATTTCCTGTTAACCTTGGTGCCTAATCTAACAAGCCCCATGTCATTACTTGATCCATCCCTCTAAAAGGCATAAGTTGGATTTGGGACTGCAGTCCCGTCCCCTCCCCATCAGTTTGTACCATTCCCTCCCGACCTCTCATTGCTCACTCTCTCTTTCTGCCATCTTTCTTTCTGCAAAAAAACTAAAAAACACACAAAAAACAGAATGGAGAGCCTGTCCCCAGCCCATATTTGTCCTTGGGTTCATTGGTAAGGGTTATCACTCATACATTTTCCATTTATTTCCCGAGCTCCCATCCCAACTCCTCACCTGCAAACCGTGTCAACATGTCTCTCCTCAAATCCCAGCCCTTAAGCTGTAGGAGAAGCTTTAAAGTAAAACAAATCAACCCAGTTTGTATTTCTATTTACTTATTTGTAAAATAAGGGTTGAATTTGTTCTTTAAATCTTTGCAGTGTGTACAGTATGATGTTTAATATTTAGCTGTCATCCTGTTGCATTCATTGAGATTATTTACAATATGTTGTGAACATATCCCTGAGTCCAAAGTAGGAGGAAAATAATAAGATGATCTGTGAGAGAAAATATAAATTTCAAGGAGTGGTATGGCATTTTGAAAAATAGGATAATTTCTTGCTGAGGGTGAACTGAGTTGAGAATATCATGTCATGTTTGTACAGTAAATATGCAGCTAGCTTAATAAATAGCAGAGAGTAAATTACAATAATTGGTTGTGCATTAGCTTTATGATTTATTTAGATTTTTGTGTATGGTCTCTCACATCAATTGTGAACTAATCCTCTGCAGCTTGTCATGTGTAGTGGCCGGCTGTACTGTATGATGAGCCTCATTATACATTAATCACTTGTCATGTGTCGGGGCTTTGACAAATGCGTCCCGGTGACCTTGCAGTGACGGCTGTGCAATATGAGTAATGCCCCTGTCTTGATATGAGGCAGCACCTCTCAGATCTGCCGCTGGGATGTGATCCCGCTGCAGACTTGAACTCGATCCAAACTCCAGGTCAGCTGGTGTTCTGCTTATCTGTCACAATTGGGTCTGGTTCTCCGCAGCTGGTTTCCAAGCCAGCGGATTCAATAATCAGAGAGGGATAAGTGCATATCACATTTAATAAAGTTACCGATAAAACTATGTTTTGTGATTTCACAACTCACAATTCAGCAAACTACTTACAAGCAGCAGCAAATGATCGTACAAAATGTCTGTCTTTTTCATTCAGTTACACTTGGGGAGGGATTTTCTGTGCTTCTACTGTTGGCAGTGGTTTGTGTGCACCTGCCTGCATTCACCTCCTGGTGGTGCAGTGGCAGATGGTGCAAACATAACACAAAGCTCATTCAGGACACCCAAACTTTGGGAGGAAGGCAGCTGTTTAGATTGATGACGATGACTGAAAATTAAAGATTTTCTGGTTTCTCTCACATTAAAATGCTGCTTGCTGGCATAATGCGGAACCTTGACGTTCAGCCGGGATGATTTGGATGAGTCCCTGTGTTGCATTGCTTTCTCTCTGTGGGGATTAACAGGCGCACCGGAACACTTATAAAACACCCACCGGAACAACACTTTAGGACTAACACCCACTGTCATTTCCTCACGTTCCACACGAAAGCAAAAAAGCATCAGAGAAAGAATGTGACGTATAAGATTGGATTTCAGAGGATTTCATGTGATAAGTCCCTCATAAAGCGTGTTTATTTTCTTACAGTCCATGTTTGCTACAACACGGCGCTTTAAGCCAGATGTGTGAAGAAGAACAGATTGTGTTGAAAGGAAATACCCAGTTATGAAAGCACTGAGAGGGATACACACACGCTTACAGCTGTGTGATAACCTCAGTGTGAGAACTTACTAAAACTAAAAATCTGCTGAAAAAAAACCTCATTATGTAGCAACACTGCATTAGCCTCTGCAGAGCTCTCTGCTGATGGATACAACATAAATAAACCATATGCTGTAGGGACTGGAAGTGGGCCAATAGTGGATTAAATGTTGCGTTGTGAATGGAATCAGTAAATAATAATTCAACGCCACCATGATATGTTGTTGCACAGAGAGGGTATCACACATTGTCAGAATATCTCTGTGTTGAACAATACATAGTTCGGTCGTAAATGAAGAGGAAAATATAACACTTTTTCAATAAGTGAATCTGGAATCAGTGTATGTATTTCATGCATTGTAAATCACAGTTCACAGCCACATTTATATCACCTTATCCTTGTATTTATGGTCAATGATGGAAGGTTTATGTCCCTTATGTACATGATCTACGATAGATTTTAATAAGGACATCTCCCTATACAGTTCGTTCTTGCAGTAAAGTTGTGTTTGTTATTCTATAATTGTAGTTCCCTAGTGTGTGATACTGTGGTATAACAATTTCATGTCGACCTGTATAGTATTCTAGTTGTACCAAGCCTACTTGCACGGATCACATAAATATATGATCGCTACATGTATTTAACCCATCTTTGCAGATGAGAGACATGGCACCCTCAGGCTGAGCAACCTCACTAAAAGCATGTCAGGGAAATACATCTGCAGAGCCATCAACACGGCGGGCTCCGACAGCTGCTCCATTAACCTGGAGGTTATCACCTGTACGTACAGAACACAGTATGCCTACCACATCACACACCAGGCACTGTGTGTCTGAATACTGATCTGTCATCTGTTTCTCAGCTTCCAATGCAGGAATGATTGCAGCTGCTACACTGGGGTCCATAGTGGGACTGGTGGCCATGGTGCTCTTCCTCATATTCATACTGAAAAGGAGAAAGGACACTGAGGAGGAGATGGCCAACGAGATCAAGTGAGACATTTAATACAGCATGTAGTGGTTCACATGTACAAGCTGAAGCTATCCATTACAACAACCCCTTTATACATTCCACATACAGAAAGTGTATATTTTTTACATGCAATAAGGAAGGAAGAGGCTGTACTCATATTCAATCTTTTTATTAATTTAACCACTAAATAATTAAGTAGGGCGAGCACTTCCTTTTCCTTGCATTTTTCCAAAAGCAACAGTCTATGCCTCTGCATTTAATAATTATGACATTGAGTTTATGTAGATAAATGCAATGCAATACTTTATTCTGGATTCAATGCTACTTGAATTTCTATTGCACTGTGTTTCAAAAGGATTTGATCAAATATTTTACACGACTATTCTAATCTGGAAGCTATAGTCATATATCATCAAATAAGATTTAATGTACAAAAAGTGCTTTTATAAGTTGCTCCACCATGACCAGCTAAACATAAAATACCATGTTAATAATTTTTACACTATATAGGTTTATAATATTATTACACTAAAGCCTCCTAATAAGTACTTTGCGTCTAATAGCTCATTTTGATATCAATGCATTTACAATTAAATGTATATTTTGTTACTTTAATATTATTAAAAGTAAAATTTCACACAATGCAATAAATGCTGTCTCAGAAAATATAGGTCATCCATATTTTCGCAATACACACAGTTTTGCCAGTACTCAGAAAACAGTGAAGCTGAATGTGTGTTGCCCTATTTCCTGCCTGTCATTTTTGACATTAGTAATTCTAATAATTATGAGTTTTTGCTTTCTCTGCGTTCCTCTCTTCTTTCTTCCTGTTTCAGGGAGGATGCTCAGGCACCAAAGAGAGTATCATGGGCGAAGAGTAACACCGGCTCTGACATCATATCCAAGAACGGCACGCTGTCCTCCATAGCCACCAGTCCTCGACCCCGAGACCCCCGCCATCCTAACTACAACTACCCATACTCCCCGGCGTCCACATCAGACACCGGCTCAGTTCTCCACGCCTACCAGCTGCGACCTGGAGAAGCCAACACACTGCAGGGTCTCCCGGGGTACAACAGCGGAGGAACCCCACGCAAACATAAGAGACCCCGCTGCACAAATGGGGACCCTGCGCAGCTTCTGAGGAGCCCTGCGGTCGCCAACAGGACTGAGGGGGCTCAGCCTCAGGTGCCCCCTCCCCTCGCTGTGTCCCCACAAATGAGCTGCTCCACTCTGACACACCTGGGCTCTGTAGCCATCATGGTGCCCGCGCAGAGCCAGGCCGGGTCGCTGGTGTAGGCCGGCCGGAGGACAGGGGTTAGGGGGGAGAGAAAGTATGCCTTGAAACTCAAAAGTACTTTCTCTGTGAAGACTTATAAGGATGTGAGAGAAGAAAACGTCCCGCAGGTCCCTTTGGTTGTTCATTTCTTTTTGTAAGAAATATATTTTTTATTTACTCTTATTAAGAGATCTTTAATGATACCCAGTAGCATTAGGATTTGTAGGCAGTGAACATAAAAGGCCAATGTTTTCAGGAGAGTTGTTGACTTACTAGAGTTTATGGATACTAACCATGTTTCAGTTCATTTGGCAGTTTGCTTTGAGTTTTGCAGTTCTTGCTAAATATATGCTGGCCAAATTTGTGTAATAACTGTAGCCATACAAGTGTATGATTTCATTTCTACAGCTGTGTAAAGATGCATTTTCAGTCCCTTTCTCTCAGGCTAAAGGCACTATGTCAAAATCACAATTCAGGTATTTCAAATGTATCATTCTTGCTTTCTTTGAACCACATGTACGTGTTATGTGTTCACGTACTGTAAGTTTTGTTTTATTGAACCTACTGCAATATCAGTATGGTTCAATGACAATGTCTGCTGGGAGGACATTTTTTTTTTATTTGCCTGTTATGGTAGTTGGAATGTTACCAACATAGTAAGTACAACATGTTGAAGTTGATGGTTTCTTACTATTCTGTTCAAAGGTGCTTGTTTTAACTTGATATAATTACTGTAAACACACAAGGCCACCAGTCAGTGAGATAATGACAACTTCTGGCTGTTGGTCTTGTTTGTTTTCTTGTGAGTATAATGTAGCTCTGAAAAAAGATGTGGCACTAAGCTATGCTGAGGGTTACATGTAGCACTTTTACTGCAGTTTTGATTGTTGGTCATTTTTCTTCAATAAAGTGTTCTGGAGTGTTTGATTTTAGCATGACTCATCTTTATCACTTTACCTATAAATATATTTGTACTCATGCAAAATAAATCACATTTAATGACAGGACATGTACATAATACCTAGTTAAGTGTGCCAATAAAAAGGCTGATTCCTTTTTCTGTAAACTGAGATTATTTTATTTGGAGTGTAATCAGCAGACATCATTTGAAATGTGACATCAATACATAACCCATAATACCCAACCCACTGTGGCATTTCAAACGTCATGGATGGGTAACAATTCAGTAACCTTGACTATAAAGGAGATCTAAAAGGCCACTTCAGGCACAGATATGCTGAGACTGCAAGTAATATACATCTGTGATATACAGTGGAAAAAACACACCGTTTTATCACTGATGTTAGTAATAAATCCTTTTAAAAATAGGAAAAAAATCAAAACATCTTGTCACAAATTGTGTGAATCTGTAGTCGTTTTTTTTTTAATTAAAGAAAAACAAGATCACAATATATTCACACTAGCAACTTTGCAGAAATATTTCGGTTAAAAATCTAAACGAAACCATTTTTTAAACTATTCTTAGAACATTACATCTACTAGAGGTGGTGTCTGTAATCATGTGATGTAGCTACCAGCACGGTGATGCCAATATCAATCCACCAACTATTAAAGGGATTGACAGGATATTTTATACATGACCCGAACAGGATCAATGCAACTTAATTTGGTGATCCAATGATTTCTCTAGCACTGCCATCAGGTTGAACCTTTTGGTAAAGTATTTCATGCTCCATTCAGGTCTGAAAAAACTGGTGATCCCTTACATTTTCACCCAGCACCACCATCAGGTCAAGTTTTTACTTTTTTCTATGACCAAATACTTGCAGTTCGTGTGGGATTCCTATAAGTAACACATGTTAGCATGCTAACAGGCTAAGCTAAGATGGTGAACGGGGTAAACCACAAACCTGCAAAACATCAGTATCACTGCAGAGCTAGCATGGCTGCACATACTTGGTGTTCTTTCTGTCAAACATTTTTATTGTTCATTAGATGCGGTCTGTACTTAAATAAAATATGCTTTGTCTTTTTAAATTGTACATAACTTCAGCTTTTGAGTTGAATGCTAAGGTTTGTATGTTAGTGTAATATGCCATTATTCAGCATTTTGTATATGCTGTATAAGCATTTCTTTAAAATTATAGCCTGTAATTTATTTATTGCTTTTAGAGGAAGTGTTGGACCTGAGGAAATGTTGACCTGCAGGTGGCACTACATGTAAAGTAAGCTAGGGATTGCCAATGTCATTGGGATTTGTCCTCTTTGAATGACAGCTGTTATTGGAAATATGTGTACATTGTTAAATGGTCATCCCTTGAGCCTTGCTGCAACAGAGTAGCTAAACATTTTAAGATAATAACTAATATCATACTAGAAAAACCTATGCCTTACTGACTGGCTTACCACACGTCCTTAAATGACCTTTTACACTTTAGGAAACCAGTCACACAGTAACAGGAAGAAAGACCATAACAATATGGTCACTGTTCAAATCACACATATCCAGGGGAAAAGGTTTATCATGATTCCGTCAGCAGATTACGGGAAATGATCATCCTCATCACTTCGTTTGTGCCTTTAGGAGAAAAAAAACAAAGGGTATGAGTCACACAAAGAAAACAAGCACATCAACTATCTTAAATAAGAGGAAATCTGTGAGATTATAATCTGATACACATGAAAAACCAGGCTAAGGCGACTCCTAAAAAGGCTCACCCTCGAGAATCTGATGCACTCTGATGTCTCGGACAAACTGCTGCACTGCGTAGTCTTTCAGGTAACCGTACCCACCGTGCATTTGGAGAGCATCGTTGCAGATCTGTGAAATGAATTAAAAAAAAAAAAAGGTTAAAAAATGAGTTTTTTATTGAACAATTCCTCTTGTATTACTGAGTGTTACTTACATTAAAGCACTCGTCTGTGGCGAAGAGTTTGGCCATAGAGCAGAGAGAAACGGCATCAGACCGGTTCTCCTGCAGCGCTGTGGCAGCTTCACGCACCATGAGGCGGGACGCAACCAGCTTGGTGGCCATTTCTGCCAGTTTGAATTGAAGATACTGCCCAAATGAACAAACACAGTAGCAAATCAAGAAAAAACGTGTTATCACTGGCAGGAAATGTGACCTAATACTGTGGATGAGGGATCTTCTAACCTGGTTGTTGGAGAGTGTCTCTCCAAACTGCTTGCGTACTAACAGATGATCCCTCGCGAGCTGAACCGAGGCATGTGCCGCCCCAAGAGAACAGGAGGCTGTTGGAAGAGTTTATATAGAAACTGTAGATTAAGAAGCTGCTGATGGTCATGTTAAGATAACAGAAAAAAAATGTTTTTAGAGTTTGCTTCCGTTTGACTAATGATTTTCTTTTTAAGGAATACGGTGTTATTTCCTCTTGGAAAAGTGTAATAATCTTGAATTAAAGCCAACCACCAAGAATCTCCACTTTTTTTTTAAACCTTATGCAGAATATTTGTTTTTGGACCTTTGCATTTCAAATATCAAGATAATTACTGTCATTTTATCTAGCTATGGGTATACATTACATATTTGGGCATCACTACACACTGGTAACTACTGTACTTTGATAGTGTTCTCCTCCTCACCAATATTAATTCTTCCTCCATTCAGGCCTCTCATGGCCATGTTGAATCCTTGTCCTTCCTCACCCAGCCGATTGATCACTGGAACGGCACAGTCCTCAAATATCACCGCCCGGGTCGGCTGGGAGTTCCAACCCACCTGAGAGCAGAGAGTAGAACGGTTACTGTGACTGACTCCTGCCCTCTAGTGGCTACCAGCAAACACTCCAGAGCAAAATCATTAAAGTCAGCAATCAAAGGACTTTACCTTTTTTTCCTTTTTGCCAAAACTGAGGCCTGGGGTTCCTTTCTCTACCACTAGACAAGAGATGCCTTTAGGTCCTTTACCTCCTGTTCTGCACATCACAATATAGACATCTGTGTCTCCCCCACCACTGATGAAGGCCTGAAAGTCAAAGACATGTTTCTATGTTTTTACTGCTTTTTTTTTTAGACAAAACATGTAACCATTATGAAGGCCTAAACACCAGATAGGGAATAGGCAGCTGTGGAATTACCTTCGAACCATTGACGATGTAATGATCCCCTTTCAGCTGAGCAGTGGTCAGAAGTGAAGCAGCATCACTGCCGCTGCCTGAAGTCAAAGATCACAGGTTTATTGTGATGATGACTGACACATTTCTAAAAAACTATGTTATACTTTGTTTTTTTACATAATATACAATGGACTGACCTGGTTCAGTGAGACAATACGAAGCAAACTTGTCCATCAAACAGAGATCAGGACAGAACCTCTCCCTCTGCTCATTATTGCCAAAAGTGTCTATCATCCAGGCACACATGCTGCAAAGAAAACAGCTTGGATTGAATTGGGAGGCAAATACATGAACTTAATCTTGGAAAAAAGTCTGATTGATTTGTTTTGAGATTATGTAATGATTCTCAGTTCTGATAATTTGCCAAACAAAAATGTCCTTTAAGTTACAAAACGTTCTATTGAGTCAGTAAATGTAGTTATTTGGACCTAACACAACCAGCCTCAAGTCAACCTTTGTCCTCCTTACATTATACACACACAAATAATTCAACGTTTTCTTAATTACAGGGTCCAAGTAATGTATGACATAAGGGGGGGGTTTTACTTGTGGATGCTGATGTAAGCTGTAGTGCTGACACATCCTGTGGACAAGGCCTCAAAGATGATCGATGTGTCCAGCCGAGAGAGACCCGATCCTCCGACTTCCGGCTGGACGTAGATCCCACCAAACCCCAACTGGGCTGCCTTTCGCATCGTCTCTACTGGAAAGATTTCCTGGGGGGAAAAAAAAATAATACCCATAAATGTTTATGTTAAATTATAACTGTGCACATTGGAAAAATAATTATCTGTTACATCATGTGTTTGCATCGGATTAAACTATATTTTTGGCAGTAAAAGAAAAGCTGCTGAGACATGCAGGTTATCCACAGTTAGGTATGAGCTGAAGTAACTTTTAACAGGCGAAAAATTCCAGAAAGACAGTAATGAGAGCTCAATGTTAGGATTGTCTCCATATGTAAACCAGATAGTTTACAGGTGCTCATTAAGGGACATTTCACCAAGAGTTTCCTGTGGGATGGTCAAGTGTTATGCCTTGACATCAGCTGATTAATAGACTGTATGGCTTTCTCAAACATACCTTTTGGTCCCACTCTGACATGTGTGGAGCCATTTCATTGGCCGCAAAGTCAAAGGCCATTTTTTGAAATTCCTTCTGTTCATCTGTGAGTCCATGAGAAGCTGTCAACAAAGAGCAGAGAGCATATATATACCATGGTGATCAATATGGAACGGAAAATATTCCATCATGCACAGATACGGGAGTATTATGTGTGGGCTTTTTTTATTACATGATAAAGGTAACATATGTATTTTACACTCTAACTGTCGTGGATATCTTCAAGCAGCATAGGATGCAGCAATAAGAAAGCATTGGAAACTAGCAAATTCCCTGACAAGACCTGAGTGGGGCGGTGCAAAACTAACCAATGACAGCTAGGTACCGGTAACTGTAACAATGAAGCCCTGAATGGGATGTGTGATTTTACTTTATTGTGTTTTATTCACAGTCAATAATAAACACCAACACCGGTCTGGTAGCTAACAAAGTTCAGTGCCATTCAGGCTTTCTTCCACAATAACACTCAGCTGTCATATGACGTTAAACTAATGCTCACAGTTTTACTTGTCTGGGACTTACGGTCGACACAAGAAGCTATTCCTCGTCTCTGTGTGCTTCTGTTAAAAGATAAACGATGGTTCCTGCAGATGCTGGAGCCCAGTCTGGCAATCCTTGCTAGAGGTCCGATGGTCGCCATGTTTACCTCCACAATGTTGTGGGATGTGTTCGTTATGTCACTCTGCCGCTGCCGCTTCTTCTTCTGGGGCTTTAAAGGAGGAAGGCATTCAGCGTATAAAGCGCAATGCCGCCATCTTTGGGGTGCGGGTAACATATTCATTTAACATATTATTCCTGTTTTTCTCTGATAAAATCACATACAATTATAATGATGCTCACATCTGCTGAGAAATATAGTTTCCTGTCGCTCGTGAAAGTGGTGATTAGTTGCTCCCTTTGAGGAACTTTGGAGGGTAAGGACTCCAAAGGACATCTATCTCTTACAACACAAACGGGAGAAGCTGGCAATAAATCAAGTGCACCAATACGTTTGTTGACGTCACGTGTTGCTGCTAGTGCTTTCACCGCGGGTTTTGATGGTTGACTGCTTACCTGGAACATTGCTCAGCTACAGGTATGATTTATCAGTGTTTAATCAGAGATTTTGCACTACTGACAGAGCTGCATTATAATCTGCATTACTTTCAAATGCCTGGCGCGTTTAGTTAAGTTTACACGTGTTGCCAAGAGTTCTTGAAGCTAGCTAGTTTCTGCCATCCATGTACGGGTGAAGTTCGTTTTACATTGGGAATTCACAATGTATTTTACATTCCGAGCACTCTTTCTTTACTGCAGGTATTCCTAGGGTCCAGTCCACCATTAAAGTACTGTTTGAATGACACAAAACCAATATTATGTTTAATGCTTCCGTTCCAACTTGCTTATATTAGTGAACATTATGGTTACAAATATAGTGAATTTGTCTAATATGGCACACGGTTTTTCCATTACTTACCAATAGCTTCCATGAAACCCAAATATTATTACCACATTGGACAAAAAACTTTCTTTTATATTATATTATATAATTTTATTTTTTTTAGGAGAATTTTTTCCAATACTTTCCATGTAGTGCGACTCCAGATCAATGCATGCTTATTCAAATACAGTGGACAAGTAGTACAAACCTCTTTTTATTAGGTTTTAGTGCATCTTTTATCAAATCTGAAGTGTCTTAAATGGAAAACTCTTGGATATTTTCAACAGCTTCGATATCATGTGATTGACTAAATTGAAGATTGAACAACACTTTAAGATTAGGATAAACCTCTGTTTACAGGATCGTTGTGTTTTTTCTACTTTAAATAATTAGTGGTTCAAAAACTTAGCACCAAAATCCAATAAAAGGTCCAAAGGTATTGGAAAATATAATGTAACTAATATGAGCAAGTAATCATGGAGGTACAGAGAAAAAATATTAGTTTTGTGTAATTCTAATGGTATTTTACTCATCATCCCTAAGCAAGGGGTTTAGTTGTGAGCCAACCATACTTTGAAAGCTGTCACTGAAACTGAATAAAAAGATCAGTCTTTTTTATAACTGTCTAAATATCCAAACTAAATCAAACTTTACCACAGATCCCTTACATTCATACAAAACGCTATGCACAGCTATGGTATACAAATTGTAAGAATGTTAGAAAACGTGATGCTATTGTTAAGGTATATTGTATATTGTCATATCAACCCTGTTATGTTTGAAACATGCGTCTTTATAGACAGTGAGAGATGCCGCCAAAGACGAGGTCCAGAGTGAGCAAAAGAACAGCAGATTCAGGTAAGCAAAGGAAGTGGGGGTAAAACTTATGTTCTGGTACATTATTTTCTCATGATTGACAATTATTGCTGCAACAATAGGCAAAGTCAATGATGACGCTGACGAAATGGTTGGAGGCAAGAAGAAAGCTGCAGCTTCTGTTGAGCCGTTAAAAACTAAAGACAGCTCAGAACCTCCGCAGTACTGTCGCTGGCTGATGAAATCTGAGCCCGAGAGCCGCTTTGAGAAGGAGATTGACCTGAAGGTAAAGAGCCACATCAGCACAGCCTGTTTTCCTAAAAATGTGAGTGGGTTGCACTCGTTTGATGCTTGTTGTTTCATCCTTCAGTTTGGGATCGAGGAACTGAAGGCTTTGCCTGATCAGACTGGCTGCTGGGACGGAGTGCGCAATTATCAGGTAAATCCACACAACTGGCTACTGCTATGAAAAGCTGTTTACCTGAAATAACACATCAATCTATAAAGTATTTTTGATATTTTTTTGATTTTATTCTTCTCTCTGTTCATGGACTTTTCCGCCATCTGCAGGCACGCAACTTTATGAGGCAGATGAAAGACGGGCAGTTGGCTTTCTTTTATCACAGCAACTGCAAGGATCCGGGGATAGCAGGAATCATGAAAGTAAGTCACTCTCTCCCCCTGCTGATTATATTATAATGATTAAAACAAACCTACAAACATGATATTTAGCTGGATTTATCTTTTCTAGATTGTAAAGGAAGCTTATGTGGACCACACTCAGTTTGACAAGAAAGATATCCATTTTGATGCCAACAGTAAAGCAGACAACCCCAAATGGAGCATGGTAAACCCCCATTTAAGAAGAAAAAATATATAAATTCATAAAATAATTGAACATAAAGGTTAACCTTGTTTTCTTCTCTTTTAGGTAGACGTCCAATATCAAAGAATGGTAAAGCGTTATATTCCTCTGTCTGAGCTGAAGAAGTACCACCTGCAGCACCGAGCCAAGGGAGGGCCTCTGAAGGACATGGGACTTTTCACCAGAGCCAGGCTCTCTGTGCAGCCCCTAACCACTGGTAAGTGAACGCATCTTTCAGTTTGCATTGGGCTGCTTATGAACCCTCATTCTGCTTTTTCTCTGCAGAGGAGTTTGAGTTTATCCTGACTTTGGAGGATAAGGAGCCTTTGTGAGGATTTGGACCAGATGACATCATGAAGCAGCATACACAGCACTGTTTATCTTTTTTTTTCTGAAGTAATAAATGTATTGTCAAATTATGGCTATTATCCAGATTTGACACACACAGCATACAAAGCCTTAGAATTGAAAGAAAACAGCAGCAGTATATAAGCTTGTAATGTTTTTAGGGTTGCCCTTTGCTCAAAGAACGGCTCCGAGCCTTCTTTTATTGCCATAATTCAATTTGTGTATAGAAGCAAAGTTCTATTTCACAGTCTGCACTATGCCCAACTGTCATGTGGGGTTTTCACTATATGGTCCATCATTTCCCACCCTGTCTGTTAAGGTTTATCATGTTGCAAACACTTACATTCCTGGAAAACAACAAAGTCTGAGATCGGTTTTTTTCTTCCATTTGGCATCAGTTTATTTCACTTCAGGGACAAGGAATACTTGATTAGCATTTTGCAAAAGATAGATAGTTCTACTGCAACTCTTTCTCTGGTTAAAAGACTAAACGTATGTTAAAGAGGCAGGAGGATTTCATTTGCTTGGTACACATAGGCACAACTTTCAAGTCTAATGAAGATATTACAGAGGATTTCATACTATCAGACCTTAATACAAACACTCTTTCCTAACACCACTGGAATGCTGATGCAAAGCACATGAACATGAATGGTCACTCTGTGGCACCATGTAATGTATAATCAAAGTACACAAGCTGGAACAGGATAAAAGGTTTTAGCTGGTCGTATTTACAAATCAAAACAAGACAAATGTGTTCAGCAAGATAAAGCAGTGCAAAGTTATCTCAGATTTCTTGACCTTATAACAGTGTTAGGAATGCATTTATTAAAAGGTGGAATGTTGGAGATATATTTCAGAAAATGCATGAAAAATTCAGTTGCATTGATTAAGAGATTAGAAATTAGTTTCCTCCAAAAAAGCATTATTCAAAGTAACAGACAGCTTAAAAATTCCATAATATCACATGAAAGGTTTTAACAGTGGATATTGCAACAGATGATTAGTTTGATTCCCATAAAGAAAAGAAAAATGCATTATTGAAGGACAAGACCAGCAGCCCGAAGCTGCTTCAAATGCCTCATGCAAACTGTTTCATTGTTCACATACTGCATGTGTTACTGTATGTCGGTCTCCCTTCACTAGCAGCGGCTACTATTAAAACAGCTGCTTAACCAGGTGTAGTATAGTTGGCGGCAACCTCCGAGTCTAGTGGACGAAGACTGGAGGTCTGCGGCCCCCTACCCGCTCTCCTCCCTCGCAGCCTGCTCCAGAGCGCTCTCCGAGGCGGCCGAGCCCTCGAACCTCTGAGAGGCGATGGCCGCCTGATGGGACATGCTCTTCCTCACCACGTCACCCTTCCTCCACAGTGTGATTTCCTGCATTTCAGTTCATATTAAATTATTTCAATATTTACTGACTCCTTATCCATAGAAAGGTAAAAACAATGTCAGTAATCCTCGTGTTGCTCTCATCAGTGATTTGACTTTATTTGATCATCATATTATTTATACGTGTCTATCTACTGTCAACACACATGCCATTATTAACTAGAGTGGATTACTGTTATCTAGTCAGTGTTGTATATTTAAAACAATTTAATTGATCTATTCAACTTTTTGTGATTTGCTATACAAATACATTAACTAAGTAATGTATAGCTAAATCAAATGCTATACTGACTACGATTGTGTGTAAACAAAAAATAAGATAACAATTTTAAAGCAAAAAAAAATAAGTAGCACTTCTTCACAGCTAAAATGAATTCTTTAAAATTGCTACTTTACTCAAGCAACAGACCAAAACTAACATATTTCATTTAAAACAGAACAGCAGCAGGAACAAGACATATTTCTCTTTGGCTTGACAAACAACCCAAATGACACATTTTTGACAATCAATTTACGGTTTTCGCAACTATTACTGTTTTTGCAGTAAGTATACAAACATCTACCTGTTGTGCTATTTAGTGCAGACAGAACGTGATACATTGAATGTGCTGACAGACATTAATAAACTTCATAAAGAGAAGCTGTTCTCAAGATTCAATGTGTCCTCCTTATGTAGCTGAGATCTAATCCTAAATGTATTTTCTCCTAACAACATACTCAGCTTCTTACAAGTAGTATGTACAGCAGTATAATTGGGACACAGCTAGTATTTTCCAAGAATGTTTTTTATATTCTTTAGAAGAAGGGATTACTGAGATTATTATGAAACATCAGAAACCTACCTGCTGTTTGAAGTAGCGTCTCTCCTCCTCGTCGATCAGCACCAGGTTCAGGTAGTAGCGCACAGAGAACTTCTTGTTGATGTCTCGCATCGTGGGAGTCAGATCATAACCAGCCAGAAATAACCGGATGGGAATGGACTCTCCTGAAATATGAAATACATTAGAGGTTGGATGATATGAACATTCACTTTAGTAAAATAACTAAAATGACTAATAAGTGGCGTTTACCCCGGACCGGAGCACCGTCCATGATCTCGTATTTGGCGATGGTGTCGTTCTCGTGGTACACACTGGGGCCAGTGCCTGTTGTCTCACGCTTGATGATGTCAATCTCCATGTGCTTAATCTTAATCCTCACCAGCAGGAAGTAGATCTTCCCCACAATTACATCTTTCAGATGGTACCTACAGTAGGGGTCAAAAGAAGGCAAGCAGAAATTAGACAGAGGGCGCTTAATAACAAGTAGTTTAGTAACTGCGTACTAATGTTTGCTTTAAACACTTGGCCTCTGGAACTTGCAACCTGCTAAAAGTTTATAGACAAAGCAAATAGTTAATTCAATATATTAGGAATAATGAAAATAAGTTAGTTGCAGCCCTAAACTCCATGACTGATGTGGTTATACACTCTCTGAAACACACTAAACCACTATTGTACACTCTTACACTTGTGTTTGCTGAAAGCCATTTAGGAACACTGTGTTTATTTTGTCTTCCGAGTGTGGGATTATTTTCTGAACTGAATTTGCAATGATTTCAAACTTTGGGTTTAAAAATGTTCTTTAAAGAAAAGACACTTAATATAAACAAAAAAGTTAAACTTAAAAGTCGGTTCATGTAAATAAATGGCAACAGATTATTCAGTAATGGTGTTTTTCATCCCTAAAATTCTTACTTGGATTTGTTGTACTCAAACTCAATGTGCAGACAGTCCTCAATGCCAACTTCCATTTTAATGGAGGAGTTGAGTTCAGGGTAGGTGCTCAGCGTGTGGACCACAATGTCCATCTCTTTACTGATGTCATTTAGTCGTCTGGTCACCGTGGCACGAAGGAAATATCTGAAAATGGAAAACAGCCTTTAAACAATACTGTTCCACATATAACCAATCATGTATGAGGAACGGTAAACTTAGACAACACCAGGTGTCAGTTCAAATGCTCTGTTTGCATATGAAAGGTTAGAGAGTGACACTTACAATCATCTATTACACAGCCTATAAACCAGAGTCAATCATCAAACACACCTTAGTTTGACGTTCTGGCCTGTGTAGGACTCGTACGGTTTTTCCACATGAGTGAACTCAAAGTCGAAGGTTTGCGATTGAGTTATTTCACCCGGTCTTGCAAGATCTTTCACCAGGGAAACAAACTCATGATGGTTTCCTCTGTCGTAATACAGCTCTAGAACAGAAATAAGTTATCAACAAACACAATATAAGAGAAACAAACTTTAAGATTCATTTACCCCTTACATTGGAAACTTTCAAAAGGCTCAGATGTTGTGATAAGAGTTTTGGGCAGATATAATATAATGGGCCATTTTGTCTTTCTATCTTAATGTTATGTTTGCTGTGATCCTTGCAATTGCCAATTCCCCTTTTTCATTTGTGCCCATGTGGACATTATTATTCCATAAACAGTTTGAGATTAAACTTCAATATCACCTTCATTTGTTGTTGCACTTTAAGTTATTTATTGGCCCCTATATTTCTGTCACAGTCATGGCAAAGGTCCAAGGATAATATTGATGATAACAGAGGGCCTGGCCCCAGCATCTGCCTCTCATACCAGTCTCAATAATAAGCGTGCAACATTTGTAAAACCCAGAAAATTATTAAACATAATCCATTCATTTTTCTAGCTATTCTGCAAGCTAAGCAATAAAATAAGAGTTTACACAAGTTAGTAGCATATACACATGTCTTGCGTTTAACAAAAAAAGTTGGTTAGAACAGTCTTCTGGACATATTTTCAGTAAAGTGGTAGTTGTAATTAAAATACGTTCCCCATGTTTTAACTTTGTGTTAGCCTTTATCATTTTGGGGGAGATTCGGATGATAAGCTCTGTGACTAATGTTATGATGATTGACAACTTGAAAAACACACCTCTTAACAACATCTAAAAGTTAGCTAACCCTATTACACAAAAACAGTTCATTTGTATACATATTCATAAAGAGATAAGCAATGTGTATTCATATTTCATTGAAATGCTGTTCAGTTTCCACTCCCCATAACAATAATTTGTACTCTCCCTACTTCCTAATCGAAATGCTTTTTACATTTATATTCCATAACATGGGTGTTGCCACAGGATTGACTGTGTTGTTTACATGAACTGTATGAAATCATTGGTCAAAATATGTATGCAAATATCTTCTTTTTTTTTAACCTACCTATTTGGCCAACAAATTCAATTTTGATGCCCTGGTGCTCCAGCCTCTTTCCGGGGTTCTTCAGCGTCACATTCACCTTTCCACTGACAGTCTCGCCATCATAGAAAAGAAAGTATTTATCTTTCTTTCCATCTTCACTTTTGTGTTCAGCTTTCTTCCGCGTTTCAGCGTCATTCAGGACAACATCTATTTCTGCACTTTGCCCAAAACTAAAGAAACTCATCTTGCTTATCGTAACGCCTTGTTAGCAAACTAATGCAAAAACCCTTGCAATGTTTTGAACTAGAAAAACACCAAACACACAATAAGGCCTGTGTGCGACCTCAGTTCCCTATCGGAGCACAAAACACACTATTCAACATGGAAAAAGTCGACGATATTTGACAGAAGACTCCACATTAGCTACATGTCCATACCGACGAAGCAAAATAGCAATACGACGGCACAAGGAAAACGCACAATAACACGTCCATCAGCAAATTAGCCGCTTCCCTTTTTCTTCTGTTGACCAGAATATCTTCAGTGAACGGTCCACACAGGCCACACACTAGTCTGCTCCGTAGTGATGGCAAGTTTCGCTGTGTGAATGTTATATTACATGTTTGTTTTCTGTAAGAAAAGACGTTGAATGTTGTCAAATGATCAGGATGTACGCCACCTGCATTAGGTTAACTACTTCCGGGTGGATGTTTTTCAAAATAAAACCTAATGATGGTTTCTGAAACCGGAAATAAGGCCTTCTATATATTATTATATGTATTATAAATGCATTGTTAGTGGTGAAAAAATAATTATTCAGCCATTCAGCCCCGTTTTGTTAATAAAAGTAGCAGTCCCACACTTAAATCAAAGTCATACATTCATATTGTTTAACTTGAGTACATATGTTTACCTCTAATAAGACACACTGTAATAACAACGTTTCTGTGCATTAATTAATTGTGAATACATGTTTTCATATTTCTATATGGAGACTGTGTATATAAAGCCATGGACCTATATCCTCTACCATGAACATTACATGTTACATTAATACCTTCTCATCTTTCTATTACATTGCATATTTGTTTAAGCGCATGCTGTTTACCTTAATACTATCCTTG